GAACTCTCTCTGACCCATACAGAAAGTGCCTTGAATACAGGCAACAGACCTAAAAATAACACCTCCAGTACCTATAAAGCATGTAAACTGTGATCTGAAAAACTGAACGGAGAAAAAAGATCTGTACTCCTTTTTATTTTTTTATTTTTTTTTTTAGCATGGGTAATATAAGAATTCCTCAGAGTTAAAAATTCTTATTTTAAAGGCTTCAAGATGTCTCACTCAGATTTTTCTTCCTGGATGTCAACTGAACTACAGGAATGATATGTTTTTTGACTGTATATAACATCCACTTCTTCGGCTTTCTAATTCCCTCCTTTCCCAACACTTTTAAACAGAAAGAACAAAAATCTTCCTCTCCCTTCCGTCACAAGAAAAAATTTTAAAACTACAGTCCCAAATATAGTCCCAAGCATAAATTCATATTATAAATTTATAAGGAAAGTTATAAAGAATGAACATAACATTTTTTTTCATGCAAGATTAAACATGTAGGTTGAATACGGTAAATTGTAGAATATAATGTGCACATGTGTGTCCTCAGTGAACACTTCCAGTGGGTGGAAGTGTCTACCTTATAAGTAATTAAGATATTATTTCAATTTTATGTCCATAAACGGATGACTGACCACATGACCATAATGAGGAACCTCTAAGTTACCATTTCTTGGGTCAGGATTCTGCGTCTCATTTAATGTTACGGAAAACATGGAAATAGCCAGCTGAGTTTACCATTAAGGAAAAAATTCCATTAAATAATTGATTCAAATAAAGTTCACGAATAGGAATTACTGAAAGATGGATAATTACTGAAAGGCTGGTTTAAGTTTCCTTTTTGGCATATGGGATGACCCCAAATGTGAGCTCTGAGAGCTCTGATTAAGCTCCCCCAGAAAAATAATTTATGATTTTCTCAGCTGAGAATATGCAGGAATTGTAGTGGTATGAATTGGATGGTTTTCATCAATTACAAGTGAAATGATTTTTTCAAGAAACTGAGAAAATTTATGTAATTTGCAGTGATTATCAAGTCAGCTACCTTAATCAGTATCTACTTAACTACAGGGAATTTTAAAGAAAAATGTAGAAAAAAATATGTAACACTGCTGAGCTTTGAATATGGCTTATATAAAGCAGTTTTGATTTGTGCAGATTCTATCTTAGGTACCACCCTGAAATGTGCTAGAAAGTGTGAAGCACTGTGAGAAGTGAAAGTAGGAAACACATACAATGTTTACTTACTGGACTAATTTGGTATAGTCATAATTCTTTTATATTGTAACAGTAAATTGGAGAAAGAATAAGATAAAATTAAATCCATTTAAAAACGCTGCTTATAGGAAGGTTGAAATAAAACAGGTAGGAAAAACAACACGAAAACTCATTATTAAAAGCTATGCAAAATTGGGGTATACATATATATGTGTCAATTTTTATTTGCTGTTTCTTTAAAAAAAAATTGAAAATGGTTTGAAAATAGCTTTTGGTATTATGCTCAGAAGTTGCAATTCCAAAAGACCACTATGAAAAGCTGTTGGGTTACAGATTTCATCCTTATTCCAGAGAGAAAGCAGAACAATTATCTTTTCTTTTTAGATAATACTTTCTATTTCAAAAAGATTTCTTAGGGAAAAAAAGACTATATCCAGACTCAGTTTTGTATAAGTTTAGTTAAAACGTTATGAACTCACGTTAATAGAGCATCATTGTTTTGTGATCAATTTCCAGAGTAATACTATAAGATAACCGTCAACTGGAAAATTTAAAACATAGAATCTCTTGTTGGCACATGAACAAATTCAGATACAACAAATATTTTATTTACTCTTTAAAATATTTTAAATATTGAGCAATATTTTATATAAATCTCTCCATAAACTTTTACTGTTAAGATTTGGAAAACAGGAGGAATAGAAAGTAATAGCTGGAAAAGAAAATGTTTTATTGAAAGAAGCAGCAGAACTCATGATGACTTCAGTTTTACTGAAGCTAAAGTATAAGTAATTGTTTGGCTTTTAGACAACTGAAGAGAAAAATAATTTATTCTTCCTATTTATTTGATACTTGAAGTCAAGAACTTCTTTCCTAGAATTCCATGTTTAAAAGGGTTTGTTTTTGCTTTTTTTCTTCTGGTGTTCTTATCTGTTTCTTTGAATTATCAACAAAGAGGTGTTTGAATTTTCTTATGGCATGCTCCAGGGTTTTATAAGGCTGTTGATTCCTTGGGAGATAGCAATCCCTTTTAGGCTTGCAATCAGGAACAACTTCAATGGCCAAAAGGCAATTAATTACTTCAGGATGAGAGGATCTCTTTTGCTAGCATTTGGAAAATTAGCAAATATAGCAAATTAACTTTCAACTTTCCATCTTATTGGCAATCCATGTCAACCCAAGAACTAATTTAGGGTCTTAAACTAAATCAATGTTCATGTTGATTTCTTCTGACTATTTGTATCAGAGAAGTAAATTTGTTGTGGGAGTAATGACTGTTATAAATAAGAGTCATTAACAGGGTCATTCATTTACATTCAGTAGTTATTGGTAACTCTGGGGAAATTATGGTCTCCTGAAAGATAGCACTGCTCAAAGTGAGCAAGTGTGATAGAATGTGTGGCAGGATGACCTGGAGGTGTGAAGTTCATACGATTTTGCGTAAGTTCCTCAAGTGCATCCCCACTGATTTGTGTGAAACACCCATAATATACTGACGTAGACGAGTAGTAGCAAGTACCAATTTCTAGATTTTTTTAACAGCAAATCTAAAAATAAGTGAAAAAACATAAAAAATTTGACTTTACAAGAAGACACCTTTTATTTTAAGGATGGTCTTGTCCTATCAATCATTATTAACCTGATTTAGAGGGTAAAGATAATACAAAGATAAATATGGAAGAATATGGAAGATAATATAAAGATAATATGGAAGATAAACATATTTCACTGTGAAAAAATTGGTGCCAAGATGATGTAAGCTGATAAATGAGACTGCTCAGTGCTGGTAATTTTTAGACATCTAAAATATTCATAATTACATTACTGAGATCAGTGAAGTTCTTCTTCACCTCTTTGCCATGTGTTGCACTTTCTGTAATACACGTCGTGTAAAATCCTAGTGTGAAGTAGGGACTGCCATCTAATATGAGATACAGTGTGGGGAATTAAGAGCTCTAGTTTTCTACTGAATTTTGTATTTTTTCTGTTAAACATCCCTAGGTAAAATTCTTTAGCCCTTCAAACCATTATTTCTCTTTCAGCACTTGTCTAACATGTTCAGTTTCTTCTTCAGGGTTTCTTAAGAGGGCAGTGGGCTGTATGAGGCATGCGGATTCACCATGCCTTACACTGCTTAAGCACAAGAGACAGAGCCTTGCAACAGCAGCAACAATATGTAGTGAGTGCTATTAATTACATTTGGTAATATATATAACAAACTGTGCAATCCAGTCCCTCAAAGAGTTCTGTTCAGTCCAGTGGGAATGCTTATACGTGTGAGGTCACAGGGTTATGGCTCAAGTCTGTAGGGCCAATAAGACCAATTGCAAAATATAGAACAAATATGCAGACAGAATCCTCTATTCACATTGCCTATGGACTAAGTTACTTAAAACATTTTCAACAATTATTTGTGTTACAGATGGCTTTTAAAACACATTGTTCTCCTTTTAGTGTTTAAGTGCTTCAGATATCCCTTGGACAAGTGCAGTTAATTAATTAAAGCAAAGATTTCCCAGAGTCTCATGAAAGCACACTTGTCAGGCAATCTTTACTATTATTTTAATCTCCATTGTTTCACAGATTGTTTATGTTAATCTTCTCCTGCCCTTTTTACTGTTCCAGGCAATTTTGTGGCAGAATTGAAAGTGGAGGAGGCTGAGACAGACAGCATGAGGCTTGACAGCCGCTCAAGCTCTCCTAGCTTGTGTATGGTTTTATGTGCTTCTAATTATCAATGTGTGGGAGTTTTGTCAAAAAAAGCTGGGCGTGTGGTTCCTTTTGTTCTTCTGTGTCTGTTGTGGTTTATATTTTAAATGGGACACAAATGTGATTTATAGTGCATGGCATGATGCAGTTAGGGAAAATTGGTCTTTTCCAGGCAACACAAACATGAGCAGGAGAAAGAGTGCACGTGAACAGTATGTTCCTCTCAGTGGAGAAGAAACACTCCACTAAAGCTTACAGAGAGTGTAAACAACATGTGAGAAGCCCTCTTCAAAAAAGGAGAAAAAAAGTCAATGGCTTACTTCCACTGCATCTAAAAATACACATCATTGCAAGGCAGAGCTGTGAGAGATCAAAGACAATAGGCTTTCAGCAGAGTCACCCTGAAGTGTGAAAAGCTCCAAGATGGCATGGAAAGTGCTGTATACTGACCAGCAAAGCACTTGTCCTAACACCTGGGTTACCTTCCGGGCAGCCCAGGGCTGGGTAGTGCAGCTCAAAGTGATCCTGCAAGAAGATTCACACAAAGTCCTGCCCAGCTCCCTGCAAAATGTGGAAAAATTGTTTCCAATTTTTTGTTGTAGGCTGGTAAGCCTACATTCTCTTAGCAGCCTGTAAGACAGGAGGACACAGTAAGGTGACAGGCATGAAAATGTCATGATGTGTGATTTGGGAAAGGTAAAACATAATAGTAACAAACATTTTCCTTGTGAAAAGGTCACTGTGTAAACAGATGTTCTTGTGATTTACCTCTTTTCCCAGTGGGCTGCTAATGAAGAGCACTTCATATTTAGTTTACTGAAAATAAATCATGCAGAAATATATTGGAGGGCTTAATATTTATCCAACTTCTAGCTCCTGATATATATTTTCAGAACAATTGAAAAAGAAGTTACAAGAAATCTGATTTAACCCACTGGTTTTTGGTCCTCTAATTAAATGGTGCAGTAAAGCACTACACCTGAAGTTCAAGTTTTCAGTACAGAGGTGATCATCCCAAGACAGTTTTTGGAAAGGCCCAGTCTTACCCTACTTCTAAAGTCTTTAAATTCCCTCAAAAGTTCCCTCAAAAAAACATAGTTCAAGCTGTTTATTTTACTACTGGTAATTAGGTAATCAACAACGTATGAACCTGAAATGAAACACAGAGATGATTTGTGAGAAGAGTGAATACATGGATATATAACCCAAAGGGCAAAGATAGGAACAAAAAAATGAATTAAAAGGAGCTTTTCTGAAGATAACACTATAGCAAATGTCTGAACTCTGCAAAGCTCAGTCAGTGGATGGCAGGGTGTCTAGAGAGGCATTTTTGTCCCTGTTTAAGTATGAAGCAAGATCTTGCAATGGGTTAAAAAAATCTCGGGTGTTTGGATTCTCCCTGGACTCCTTGTTTGGGAAGGACAAGACTGAAACTGTGGATAACTCCCAGCCCTGGGAACACTGCAGCCTCATTTCTAAATTCCTTAGCTCAGAGTGAAGGAAAAAAAAGAATGACGAAAAATGTGGTTTCAAATGAAAATGGATTCTTGAGTGTGGCAGTAAAAAATAAACAAGCAGTGCTACAAGTATACATTGTCTGCAATCTGCATTATATTTGCATACAGGAAAAGGCAGGGAAATACTTTGCTGGTTAGAACAGAGAGAAAAGTGAAAACCTATGTGAGTAAAAGTACAACTTTTTCAAAGTGTATGGATTTTGACTCTAAAAAGAGACCTGTTTTTTAGCAACAGAAATATCTACAAAGACTGTAGAATTTTGCTCAGCTCCTTGTTTCTAGTGTCCCTTACCTCATTACAAACACACAACAAAATGCTGTGCTATGACAAGAAAACTAAAACCACTTCTGCCTCAGGGTATGCATGCTTTACTTTACTGGATTATATTGCTTCATTCCTGATGTTTCATCCACTTACTTAAATCGTTCACAAAACATTTGATTTGTGTACATTAATGCAAAACACACTCAACTAGAAGTTTCATGCATTCTTACTCTCCCCACTTCAGGTATTTACTGTTTACAGCTGTGGAAATTTCGTACTTTGGCACCTTTCAATTCTGAAGTCTAACCGTACTTGGATTTTAAACTGACCGATTTAAATGAACAGACCTTTACACATATGTATTTTAGGGTAGTTTGAAGCATGAAGACTTACAGTCTTCTTTGTTTAAGGTGGTAGCCAAGGTGCATGGAATGTACAGCTTCTGAGCTCAAAGTTTTAGAACTTCTAACAGCAGAAGAAATATTGGACAAATTTGCCTTTTCTTTTAAAAATCCACTATCTCTATTAAATTTATTTAATCTTAATGAAAGTAGGAAGATCCTCTGAAATATGCAATGGCTTGTGCTATCTGTGGCCTTTCTCGGTCTTCTATTTATTTGCAGAATTTGATTTTCAAATCAGCACAGATATCTGCAATTGTATATCTACTTCAGAGTTTCTAAGCATGGTAAAGTCAGTTATTTTCGGGGATAATAATTTATCCCAGCTCTGCAGATACTCCATTTATTTTCTTGAACTTTTAAAGAGGGAGTGGACATTATTTGCCTTTTCAAAATAAATATGTGTAAAATATACAGCTGAATCTAATAAATTTACCTGTAGTTCACTGGGAGTGAGCTCTGCCAATGTGTGTTACACTTTTTTTCTGAATGATATTGGCAAAGTATTTTAGAGTGAATCTAAGGGTAATATTTCCAACAATCTTGCTTATTGCAATCGAGTTATTGTGTTGTCTCCAAGAGATGCCACTTCTCTTCCCTGATGAATTCCCTGTCTAGTAAAGCTCTGAGGCAGCTCATGCCACATTTTTCTGAAAGCGAACAAAAACCAATGGAGCCTTTTAAACTCCAAAGTTATGTTTTAAACTGAAAACATGCAATTAAAAAGATGCATAACAGCAAACTTTTAAAAATCACAGCCGTGCAGGGAGTGGATAATGCAGGCGTGGCAACGCTTTCCAGCGGGTGCTGCACCTGCCTGTGGGGGAAGAGGGAAGGATGGCTTGCTCCAATCTGGCTCCCTGTCCAGACACCTGCAGTGCCCTTTTGCCCCTGGGAAAGGCCCTTCTCTGCTCAGGGCTGGCTTTACACCTGCTCCCACTCCTCCCTGGACAACCCACAATGTGCCCACGGGTCAAGCTTGGCCAGGCTGCCAAGCTCTAACCTGGCTGCTCCCTCTGGAACATTCCAGGGACTGGAGCCTCTGCTGTCAGGGCAGGACCACCAGGATATTTTCTGCCTCTCTTCTCAGCTGTGTGTTGGGCTGCACACTGCCACTGATACCCGACCCTGTCCTCTAGAATTCCTGTGTCCTGTTGTCCTTCATCTCTGTTTCCGGCTTGTTCCATCTGCCAGGAAGCACCTTCACCTTACATTGTGCTGCATTTCCCTTTGATGCCAATCTTTTAATCAACTTTTCATTTTGTTTTTTAATTGTTGTTTTCTCCTTTTTATTTTTTTTTCACATACCAGGAGATTTGTTTTCCTCACCATCGGCCATCTGGTGTCTATCCATTATCACCTTTTGGAAGAGTGCCTGATTTTCATCGGGCCAGAGTCTGTTTAGATTGAGCTCTCTGTAGACTGAATTCCTGGAACTTGAACTAGCTTGAGAGTTTTGATTGCGGGGAGCTGAGGAGTTATTTTGAGACCTGTACTGCAACATGGAAGGCAATGTAATTACATAGAAATAGGAGAGATCATGAACTTAAATCCATCTTTTAGACATTTAATCTCTGCTGGAGTGAGTATATGGTGGTTTTTCATGGATATGTAAAATGCAGATGAAAACTAATACGCAAGGGAAAGAAAATCAGCGATGCAACAAACTGAGGATGATTGCATAACAAATAATAAAGCTAACATGCCCCTTTTTGGAAAAGCTCATGCTTTGATCCACCATTATGTTTATCTTGAAAACATATTGTTTATCTAACAGAGTATGTGGTTGGCTTCTGAGGTCACTGTCATATGGTGAGAAGTCCAGCTTGCTGTGAGTAGGAACATTAGTAAAAAATTTGTAGGTCAGCCAGGATAAAGTGGAGAGTCAAACTATTGCACACTTTCCCTGGAATAAATGACTAGTTACAGGTCAGCACGTGCATGAGGATTTCTGGCAGTTGGAGAAGGTCACCATCTGTTAAAAGAAAAAACAAGTCCAAAATTAAATAAATGAGGTTAATCACCTTTTCACAGAGGAACCCAGTTTTCCCTCAGAACACTAGGGATTAGATTTGAGATTGCCAAAGCCTGCACAGTAGGGAGAATCTTCTACTTGAAGGAAGGAAGCAACTAGCTTGAAACCCAGGCTTTAAAAGACAAAGTTTAAATAAAATTGAGCATAAAAACTTATAAATATGTAATGGCCTTTGAAGTACTAGTGGAATTTAGGGATGGATAATATGTCCAATTTAATGGTATCTAACAGACAAACATACCAAGACTTCCTTCAGGGTTGGTGAAGTACCATGACTTTGTCAAGAGAAGATGATTTTTGAACACTCTCAGAAGGATACGAATTGCATTCAAGTAATTAAGTGCAAGTCAGGCTTATCTATCTGTTAATGCTCATCTCTGTGAATACTTTATTATTCTTCACTGACTGGAAGAAGAATTTAAATGTTGGTTCTCTATGACTCAGAAGTCAATAATTAGGGATAAGTAGATGCCTAATGCAGTTAATAGATGTGGTAAGAGCCTGACAATGTACTTCTCTAAATATTATACATCTACAGATTCTAGGAAAAAAAGATGAGTAATTTTCAATAGTATTGCTCTTTGTAAGATTATAAAAGGTTTTTACAGAGCTGATTTTTCCTTTTCTAAGGTATTTTAGTTGCAGTTGTGGGTTTCAGAAGTGATCCCCTTGGGTTCCTTTCCCAAGAAATTAGAAACAATATATGCTTTGGTGAGGCTTCTTATAAATGATAATAATGGAATAACCATAAACATAACCACTATACATTGCCCTGTTTACTATATCTGACAAGGCAAAACCAATGAGGGTATTAGTTTATTTGTGTAGTTTAGTTACCCTCCTGAATAACAGTTTCTGCTTGGCTAAGAGTTTTTCCTGTAGTAGATAAAATTCTCATGAAAATTGATTGAAAGGAAGTTCTTCAAAGACTTTGAGGATATAAACAGTCTTGACTGTCACACAATTATTTAATGTTTAGGTTGCTCTTATGAATACAGTTAAGTAGTATTTTTGGAAAAATAAGCAAAATTGCAATAAGGTACCTGCTGAGGTCTCCACAAAACATTGGCATAATAGGAGTTCCAAATTATGACTTTACAGTTGCTTCTTGGAGGAATAAACACCTATTTTCTATTTATTTCTATTTGGGATTTAAACCACAGTATAAAATGAATTAATCTCCTCATAATTCCCATACTGATTTGTGAATTCTATAAAAAAATTCAGGTTCTTAGTTCAGTACCCACTGGATCAAGCCATTTGTCCAGCTGCTAATGTTGCTGGGTTTTTTTGTAAGTGATGGAGGATGGCTTTGTTCATGACCAGCCTCCAGGGTACACCACTTTGAAAGATACTCTTTCCATCAGTATATTGCCCAAGGAAGGACAGAAAATGGTGAGAAGAGTAAGAACCATCACCAAGGTAGCCTGTGGAAGAGAAGATTACTGCTAGCAAAGCTGTTTGTGAAAATCAGCAGATCACAGGTTGGTGTCAACAGGCCTGTATGACTATGACTATATCTGTGTCTCTGCAAATGAAAGAAATTTCTATAGAAGACTGACAGTAATTCTGTTCAGTTTATTGATCATTGTTAGTAATGAGATGTTAATCACTTAATTCTAGAAAACAGATATTTTATAGTTGTCCTAGGTTTTGGACTCCCTCCTTGAATGTGTAATGTTCTTTAGCTCTATTATGTAGTTTACTTGTTTATAAATCTCTGGCTGGAGCTATTGTGTCAACTGTATTGTTTGAGCATTATTAGGCTTCTTTTTTTCAGGAAGAGAACTGAAAGAACTACTGAAGAATAATTTACTAGTGTCCCCCTTTGGTATTTTCACTATCAGTTCTAGAAATATTAACAGGTTGTTAGTTGAATTCCTATCCACACAGCTAATCCAGCTGTGGATTCTTTGGGCTAACTCCTCTTATGGGTTCTAGAGTGACATACTCCATTTGATTCTAGGGTTTCATGTTGCTGTGTGAGTGTCTTGAGAATGGTTGCATTTTTCTCTTTGTAATATTTTTGCCATATTCCTTATACCAATGGCTTCCAGCATTTATCTTTTCTTTGTGACTTACAATTACAGAAAAATAGCAAGGACTCCTGTGGGATTGAGCATTTGTTCAGGTTCAGCCTTTCATTCTACATTTCTCTTGTAGTGCAAGAAATCGAGCAAAGGTCATGTCCACTTTAATTTGCCTTGCTTACAGTATGATTTTCTTAGCTAGCTTGCTCTACTACAAGCAGTAAGGGCTTTAGTTATGGATATGAAACTGCAGTAATTTACAAACCTACACAATCCCTCAGAGGCCAGTTGTACTCTATTATCTCAAATTAATTCTTTCCAACTAACAGGCTCTGTGAAAAGAAACCCTGAAGCTGTAGAACTTCCAACAGCTGTTTGTCCTGCCCTGGTTTTAATGACTGGTATTATTCATAACCCTGTGACTCACTGCCCAGTCCTCCACAAACTCTGGTCCATGCACTCCTAATTTCTGTGTCCTGACATCTGTATCCTGGTGTCCACAGCACTTTGCTCCCATGAAATGAACTTACATCAACTCAAGTGCTGTCAGGGAGATTTCACAGTATCAGAAGCAAGATTTGATCCAGTAAAAGTAATATGAGTTTGTTGAAACTCACTTTTTCTTTTACTTATGAATATAAACAAAGAACTATTTTGAGGCACTGTGACTGCTGCTACCGCTAGGAACAAAATCAATATTCAAAGTAATAGAAACAACTTGGGAATGTGGTTTCTTCGTGTTGTCTTTGGTATTTGAATCACAACAACTGAATTCCCGCAAGAAAATAGATATGTGTTTCTAGCTGCATGCAGAGAGAAGCCTAAGAATTAATAGAAAATGACACATCTGCAGATATAGTACCTCAGATTAGCTGTGACACATATGGCAGGAACATTTTCTTTAGGGGTCAATTGCTATAATCCAAAGAACTGTGGAAATAGCACCCCCTACCCTTGAATACCTAGTTCATAAAAATGAATTTTATTTTTTTGCTACAAGAACCATGCAATGGTTTAGAGGCACACCCTGTTCTTTAGGAACTGACAGCTCCTCTGCAAGCTTTGGCAGGATTTCAGGTAATTTTATGTCTCCCCATCACTTCCTGCATCACAATATTGAAATGTGGTCAAATGTTTTTTGTTTTTTTTCTAAATTTCCAGTCTCCAGTTCTTTCTCATAGTATTGGAGTCACTTTTATTAAAGTTAGGCTCCACTCCAGGAAATGATAGCTATTTTGCCCACAAGAAAATTTCAGATGACATGCTTATTTAAAACAGTTTTGTTTATATTCAGAATGTTTGATTCTGTTCAACAACTGAACTTAGTAAATGGAAGAATAATTTTCCCCTCCTCTTTTTATGTCTGTTTATTCAAATTCTCGAAGGTTCTAGCAGATAGCTTCTTGTCATAGATACTAAGTGAGCAAACTAGGATGACTGTCCCCCTAGACATGGTATTTATGAATAGAGAAGGATTCATAGGGGCTATGATAGTAGGTAATGTGTTTAGTGTAAGGAGAAAAGAAGAGAGTAGAGCTGACACCCTGACCTAACTTTAAGATACTGAAGAAGTCATTTAGCAGACTATCCTAAGATTTGCTTTTGAGGGCTTACAAGTCCATGGGGGCAAATCAGTCTTTAAGAAGCACAGGAGCAGGCAATCCCATTGCAGTGTAAGTGAAGCAAGAGGGGCAAAAGACCCCCTTGGCTGAACCGGACCTCCTCATGGAGCTCAAGAGGAAAAGAAAACTACATGACCTGTACAAGTAAGGTCAAGCTTTCCAGGAAAGTTACAAAGCTGTGGCTCATATATTCAGGGGGGAGACACAAAAGGTGGAAGTTCAGTTAGAGTTGAGACCGGCCAGTGGTCTGCTGGACAACAAGAAATGGTTTTATAAGTATGTTAATAACAAGAGGACAGCTAAAGAAAACATTGGACCAATACTTGTGAAAATAGCTAGCTGACTGCTATGGATGAAAAAAAAATAAAGGCATTCAATGTGACTTTTGACTCAATGTTTAATAATAGGTCTGGAGCTTACCAATGCCCTGAGTCTGTGGACCACATGTGCAGGAACTGTGAATTTCCATTTGTGGACACTGAAGTTGTCAGGGACAACTTATCAGCTGAATGTTCTCAAGTCTGTAGGGCTTGGTGGGATTTGTTCCAGGATACTGAGAGAACCACTGAATATTGTAGCAGAACTCATCTTTATAATCAATTAAAGATCTTGGAGGTTTCTGCTGATTGGAAATGAGACAGTGATATTCCAATTTACTAAAAAGGTGCTAGGGAAGAGCCAGGGAACTTGTCATGGTTTAGGACTGGTACTCCCCAGTTCAGTGCTCTCCACTGATGCTCTCTAAATCCTGAGCCACTCTTCCACTCCTATGCTTTCCCTCCCCCTCCCAGCTGTGGTGGGGTAGGGTGGAGAATTGAAGGCTCAAAAGCTGAAGCTCGCAGGTTAAGTAAGAACAATTTACTGAAAACAGCAATGAAATAAAAGAATCAGTAACAGCAACAAAATTAATACAAAAAGTGTGCAAACGTAAGAGTGATTCATGTGCCAAAATATACATTATGGAGCCTACCACTTGACTGCACCATGTCATCCCAAACAGAAATGAGCCCTTCCTTCTGGAAAGTGACTGCTTTCCCCCCGCCTCTGGCAATGAGCTGGTATAAAATAACCTCTGAATCCTAGGCATGCCCCCTCCAGACTACTGAAAAAATGAACTATGTCCTGGCTGACACCAAGACAGAACTAATTTGAGTTCCTGGAAAAATTATGTAGAAGACTGTACTAGGTACTATTAAAAAGCATGTAACAAACAATGCAATCACCACATGCAGTCAGCATGGTTTTACAAAGGGAAAGTCCTGTTTAATTAATTTGCTATCCTTCTATGATAAGGTCCATCTAGTCGAGGAGGGGAAGGCAGGGGATGTAGTTTCCCTGGATTTTAGCTAGGCTTTAGATACTGTTAAGAACGCTTTCCTGTCCTGCCACCCAGGAGCCAGCCTGGCAGTCACACTTGCACCGCCTGAGCACCGGGGTACAGAAACCCCTTTCAGTGGGCATCTCCAGAGCTGCTAAGTGCCCTGCTAGCTCCCTACACACACCACACTCACACCGTCAGACAAGCCTTCCTCACTGATTCAACCCCACGTTTTTCATAGTAGAATCCTGGACATCTCCATCCTTAAAATAATTCCATCTTGGTGCAATAACAAAGTGACAAAATCACAGCTCATGCTGGGTGCCTCCAAGGAGGGACCTCAAAGGAAACCCTGGACTTACATATCATCCTGAGTATAAGCTTGCAAGAGCCTGGGGTCCTTAGCTCCTGTTGTGTCTCTGAGTGTCCCTGGCTGCAGGTCCCTATGCCCTTTCTTAAGGAAAGGTCAGTATTGTGGGGCCTCCTGTCTGCAGTTCCTGTCACCCAGAGCTCAGCCTGCAGGTCCAGTGCAGCTGGACACAGGGCTATCTGCACTGAATCTATTCCTCAACAATACTGTTCCTCACAGCATCCTTCTGGATGAGTTGTCCAGCTGTGGGATGAGCAGGTGTGATAGACTGGCATTTAAGAAAACAAAGAGAAACACCTAAGGAAGTTAAAACCACTGGAGGCTGATGGGAGTTTGTCTCCTAGGCAACAGCTGGCCATTTCTAAGAATTGACAGCAGTTTTGACCATTGAAAAGTGAGATCAACCTGTGAACACCACCTTAAGACCTAAGCCTGGGAATTTGTCTCTTTGTTTCCTGGCTGTGAAAGGTAACAGAGCTCCAGCTGGCTCCCGTCCCCTGGCCAGGCCATGCGGCCCGGGCAGGGGCCGGGCTGGGCCCAGCGGCTCCCGGCTGGGAGATGGGGCCTGCGGGGCTTGCCCCGGGCTCTGG